AGGGGTCCATGCGTCGAAAAGAAGGGATGCTGACGCATCCCTGCAAGCATCGTGCCCGACCTCCCCCAGCTTTATAAACAGGGTGACTTGGCCGATGTGAAAGGCCCTTGCTAAGCCAAGGTCCATTCCACATCATTCGTGGCCGTAGAGGACCGTGATACTAACGGCTGATCGCGTGGCTGGATGCGGACAAGGCCACGCTGTTACCGTGTCCTGCCCCGGGCGATTGCTGGTGGCGCCGTGGGGTTTTAGTGGGTATGCACTGTTGTGCGAGTCCCACATAACCCTTCCCCCCCAAGGTCAACCGTGCCGCGGGAGGGTATGCTTAACGCATTTCCCCACGAAAAAAAAAAAAAAAAAAAATACCGTCGCCAACACTCACATTGCCAGAAGGCTCGCAAGTGGCTCGCCGGCCTTTTAAGAGTTGGCGCGCTCCTTTTTGAAGGACCCTAAGTCGAATTGGTTCGAAAATATTTCATGTAGCTGGTTTTACATAGTGGTATTGCGTGGCCAGCACTGTCTTAAAAAACGCTCAGTTGTGGAACGACGGACGTCCAGGTGATACGGATGGTATTTCGTATACTGCCTTGATGTCCGATGAAACAGCATCAAGAAGCGTTTAGGCCGAATGTCTTAGTCTGGATTCTCGAAAAGAGCTTAATATTGATAACCTATATAGTAGTAAATCAGTGAACTGCATAAATACATTCTTAATACTAGTGGAGATCATGGGATCAGTTTTGCCTTTAAAAATTAGAACAAACAAGTTTTTAAATTTGTCTTTAGATTACATAGTAACGGCGCTTTAAAAAATTTCTTACAGATTCCGTTAATACATCGTGCAGTTCGTTCGGCTACAGTTAAAGTCGCAATCCTAAATTAATTTGTTTGTTATATTGACTACTCTGTTACGACATTATAGGTAAACAGTAGATACCTCATCAGAAATAAATAAAAGTATTTGATTTTTGTGAATACTTAATACATTTTATACTAGTTCGAATAACTTCACACCGGTTCTCTGTCCGCACAGATTTTACAATGGAGCCATGTCCACGGTTAGCCACGATGAGTCACACTCATTACGGATTTCTAACTCAAAGCATTATGGTTACCGCTTATGACAGCGTTGCTTACGAAAGAAGTGGGCTAATTTTAGGGTAAATTATGCTTTCAACACTAGCGGTTTAAAGGGACGTTTTATTTTTTATATAATGGTCAGCTTTTTAGATATACCTGATTTAATATACCCCTTACTTATTAGAAGCATTTGAAACATCTTACTATAAGTATCTAAGTAAGTAGCCTTCGTTCTGGAACTGATCGGTTTGTTTGGTTCGAAAATTTTTAGACATAGACATAACATTTATTACTAACAAAAACACACACAAAATAACAATATTCAAAGAAAAAATAACTTGAGAGATGTCAAAAACAAAAAAAAACCTTCTCACATTCGGTTCGTTTCAACTGTGTAATGCGTGTGTGCTGTGGTTGTAATTGGCCCTGGCTCAGCATTATGTTGAGGAGCAGAATGTTCCACAGCGCTGCTTTTATTTCATATCTTATCCTGGTAATATAAAATGCTTTAGCAAAACTCTTCAAATCTTATTGAACAACTGGGATTTTATTAAAGTATAATTGTAATGTCTCTTTTATTAAGAAAGTTGAATATATTTACTTCATCCAGATAATAGGGCATAATGCAAAGAAATCGTAAACTCAGGCAGGTTGGTATTTTCAAGTCGGCTAATAAATTCACCTTACATTTACAAATTAACTATTATTTTCAATTCACCTACATACTCTTACGTAGATTAATTGTATTTGTAAACGTCTGTTATATTTATTTTTTCTTACTTAAGTACAAAATGATTATTGTAAACCGTGACAATAATAATGTTTTCTGGAAAATAATTATTTTGAAAACGTAAATTTTTACAACTTACATAATAAAAAAATATTAATTTACAATAGTTCTTTCTCCCCGTTACAAGATCACCCCGCGTGACGAAATTATAAAAAGCGCCTGCACATCGGAACACTCGCATTCTTGGCATCACTGTACTCACGGTGGTTTTCTTATTTCGAATTTTCAAAAAACTTCAAAAACGTTGCGACCAAGTGACAGTGTTACCATCGTAGAAAATTTAAGTTGTGATTTAGTATTTCATTTTAAAGGTGATTATTTTTTGTGTATTTATGTGTTGTGTTGTGAAGGATGCATTAACAGCGAGTAACAGTAGTATTAAAAATGATCAACCAAAATGGACATTATTTTATTTTATGTAGGACAATATTTTTATACACGCAAAATAGATCAGGCGCACTTTTTAATTCACAATAATCTAAATTGGAAAACCATATAATTAACAAACTATCTACTAAAAATAACACTTTCTTAATTCAATACAAAATTATAAGTACAATAAAATTTACAGTTTGATTAGATTCGTTTTCGATGTCCTTTAGCGGTAATTTTATTGAAGATTAATAATAGTTCTATTATCTACTATCGATTCGCCAAGTTGGGTTATGCATTACAGGTTAATAGCCTCAGCGAGAAATTGCATGAAACCAGTTGTACATTGTAGTTCGGCAGTCGAACCTTCATTTCTCACTTTTATTAAACTTTTTAAAAATCCATATTAGTGTAATTAAAATTTTAGTTTAGTAACACAGAACGTCTCCAAATGTCTCTTAAATTTGAGATAATTTTCCAAAGTATAAAAAGATGTGTCAAGTATTTATTACCGTTTATACCTGTTCGCCGCGCTTTCGTATGCGTTCGCTTTAAGAAATATTGCACATAAATGCGGGCGTGGTACTTGACTATTACTTATTTCCGGATTTTTTAAAAGACTCCGAAATTTGAAATAAAATAATGCCCAGGGCAACACTTCTTATTGGTGCTATTTGATAGATAGTTAGACAGTCTTCCTAAATAAATAGTTTTTTCTTATTTTAATGTCAGATATTACAACAACGAAAGAATCTCTTCAGCTTCGTCATATATGTATAGTATAGATTAAATTTTTTCGTAAACCAAGCCTTAATTAAAAATTTAAAAATGGAATAGAAATTTAAATTCAATTTAGTCCTACTAAAATTTCAAACTTAAATTTTAAAAAGCAACCGTTGCACAATTTATAGTAACGCTATTAAAATGTAATAAACTTATATATTTCGCTGCGTTAACGGCTTGCACAGATTATACCAGTTATTTGTTGCATCGGCATGTCAATACCGCTAATCATGTATGTGTCGTGAAACAATTTATATTTCAATCCATTTATGGATGTTATCGTAACTTTCATTCGCTGCAATTCAGCGCGCTAATTTAAATACGAAATAGTGCTAATAAATTCTTTATCTTAATTTTAATCTTAACTTCTCGGTAATTGCAGCTTATGGACTAAAAAGGTGGTATATATAAATATTTCAACGTATGCGTATGGCCTTTTATCACAGTAGGAGAAATTATATTCTTGTAGGATGTAATTAGGCCAATAATGCGTTATAACTAGTAATAAAATTTAATTTAATATCCTACATTCCTATAATTTGATCGACGGTGCGCCTTTTGTTTGCTTTTAAAACTTCAAATATTTCTGCAACGACAATCTCAAGTAATACAGTGAAATATCAACAGATGGCGTGGTAAATCGTCACTTTACAAAGGAAATTTCAAGGCATTTTATAAGTAATAACAGATATAAAATAAGGTTCATAAATAAATTAAGCCGACGTCCATAAACATAACAATGTGAACGGACTGCTCACTAAGTAATCATAACGATTTAAAGATCTTCGAGACCAGAGAAAGGTGAAAGCCACTAAAATACTTTTTGCACGAAAACCGTTCCGGTAATTGCAAATCTTATTGTACAACTTTTTGCTTACGTGATTTAAAAATGTTAAAAAATACTAAAAAGCAGCGAAGCGTTTCGGTAGAAAAGGCTCACAACATTATAATGCGTTGGTATTATGTAGGTTGGTACGTAACAAAGTGAATTGTAGAAAGTTCTTATTACCACCGCGACAAAACTAATTTGGACGAATTTTTTACTTCGTTGTAATAAAATTTTACCGTTTTAATACTTGTGAAAAATGGTCCACTATACAGATTCTGTGACAATTCAATATGTAGTCAAGATGTAGAAGTTATAATAATTGTACAGCTAATATAAGCCAAGGTTATATATGGCTTGTGTATGGTTTCTTTTATCTTCTATCTACGCATTATCACGTACTATTTCGATTCGATTTACTAACATTACACAATATTCTAACGTAACTTTAATTACGCATTAATGCATGCTTCATCATATTTAAAATATAGCGCATACATCTATTACTTTACGACACTAATAAAAAAAACTAATAGCACATATAATAATCATTGATCTTGGCCTTAGACCTCTGTATCCGATTCTTTGAAAACAATTTCTTTAAACACAAGTAGGGTATCAGCGTGAACCTACGGATTCTGGGATTTTTACATGCCGTTTCCTTCGCGATGTTCCACATTCCGGCTAACTTAGTTCTTTAAATAAGTTAAAAAAAACAATTAAAAAATAACACAGCACTGGCTAATTAATATTTCGTATATATTTTTGTTTTGTCCTATATTAGTTTCCTTAACAAAACTCAAATAAATTAAATTAAGCAAATTTTTGCATTAACGCGTTATTCAATAATAAAGACATCTAAGAAGACCTTTTGACATCCACTTGAACAATGATTGTATATGAAATGTCAAAACAATATATATTATGTTAATTATGTAAGAAAAACTCAGTTGTTTTGATGATTTTGTCTTCATGTTTTCACACAGACGAATGAAAAAGATTTTCTCATAACGCAAATGCAATAATAATACGATAATTTTCAGACTTAATACCTAATTCTTTTATCGATAGTGTAAAAAAATAAAAGGCACTCAATTATCTTGTTTTGACACATACTTAGCAACATATTTACATATTTCAGCACCAGAAATGACGCTCGAACAGCCAGCCGGTGAGATGTGGAAGAAGATTAGGGAGGAACTAAATGAGAATGTTGAAACCAGGGACAAGGACCTAGAGCATATCAAGGAGTGGCTGAAGAAGGAGCCACATCTTCCCGATGAATTCGGTAATGAACTTTAATAAATAGATTCTTGTGATAGTACTGTTACAAAAAAACGTTTACGTACTCGTATAACTTCTGTCCCCTGAAGTTAATTATTGCTTTTGTTTGGCGTCCTATAATTATATTTTCTAATATAATGTATAACGGAAAAAAGTATTGAATATAAAAAGATTATATCCTAATGATAATTTTAAAATTTAAACTTAAAACCGTAATATTTCATGACATTTGCAGCAACTGTACATTGGCTTTCGAAACCCGGACCAATTTAGTAATTATTTTGAGACATATTTTGTAATTACAGATGACCAGCGAATAATGACCTTCCTTCGTGGTTGCAAATTCTCTCTGGAAAAGGCCAAACGTAAGCTGGACATGTACTTCACCATGAGGACGGCTGTGCCCGAATTCTTCACTAACAGGGATGTTACCCTACCAGAGCTCCAGGAGATATTAAAGATTGTGTAAATTACATTTTTTACTTACTCTTATTATTAAGAGTTCTACACTTTTCCATTAGGATAGACTATTTCTCATGACTAACTTAGCCCTGTGCCAACAACATTATTAATTTATAATTTGTTTGGATTAATTACATACACATTAAATTAAGGAGAATAAATAACTATTAATTGAGACAGACAAGATATTGACTCTAGTTTAGGACTGAGTCTAGTAGTAATGGAAAAAAATTACCAAATTCAAAGTAGGGCAAAAGGCATTCAATTTTTATTTTCTAAAAATAATTAATTTTCAGTCAAATGCCACCACTGCCGGGTTTGACTCCCGACGGTCGGCGTGTTGTGTTAATGAGAGGTAAGTTAACATTTTCTATCAAATATTGGGGTGATTTTTCCCAGTTTGTATATTATATTGTGACATTGACAAGTTTAAATACTTATCTTAATTAAAGTCATTTTTTATCTGCTCAACGGGTCGAAATACTTAATTTACTTTCATTAATTTACATAAATGTAAACCTCTGTATTTTTTTACCGTTTTTACTTTCAAAATGTAAAGCTTTTTGCGACTGTTTACTATAAGCAATCAAATATACAAAATCTTAAAACACATACAATACAATAAGAGTTGTAATAATAACCAAAATAAATTTTATCCCCTTTATCCAGGTATGGACAAGGACGCCCAAACCCCAAATGTAGCAGATGCCTTCAAATTAGCTTTGATGATGGGAGATGTCAGGCTGAAGGAGGAGACCGAGGGAGTCGCTGGTGACATCTATGTTCTTGATGCATCAGTAGCCACGCCCACTCATTTTGCAAAGTTCACTCCAACATTGGTTAAGAAGTTCTTAGTTTGTGTACAGGTAAAAATCGTCATAGCTTTATTTATTTGTTTCAGTCAAAATATTTCTTAAAATATGCTTTAATCATGTTTTACATGGGCGCCTCCGCCGAAATTTTTTTCTTAATAACTGATTTTTCTTAAGAAATTACAATACAAAGTGTTATTAAAAATCCGTAGACGTAACGCCTATGCTTTTCTGAATCCTGCTATTGCTGACTACTAAGAAACTTTATTTAAACTTTATACTCGGGTATGACACCTGTTGTCCGATTACCCCGTATTCTATTAAAATAGTATGTATAGGAAGAATTAAGGAATTTAAAATTTTATTTCAGGAAGCCTACCCAGTAAAACTTAAGCAAGTCCATATCATCAACGTATCGCCTCTTGTGGACAAAATTGTCAACTTTGTGAAACCTTTCCTTAAAGAAAAGATCAGAGAAAGGGTAAGTTATTACAAAGTTTAGACACGATGATGTATGGTAAGTATTGAGAATTAATCGCCTATGTTTTTCAATCAAAATCAAATCAAAATGTTTACAAGCTACGAAGTTTTAAAGTTATTTCTATGCAATATCAATCTATAATTCTTTGATCATTTTTGACAATATCTTACACAAATTGAATGAATGTGAATTAACTTAATTATTGATAACCTATTTTTTTGATATTAATAGATCTTCATCCACGGTGACGTAAATGAACTTTATAAGCACTTTCCACAAGAGATGATGCCATCAGAATACGGTGGAAAAGCTGGACCCATGGATGACCTACACAGTAAGTTAGATAAAATCTTATCAAGTAATTATATAAATTAGAATGCTACTTGAACAATCGTAAACTATGTATGTTTTTGACTCTTCAACATTTTTTATTTAAATTTCTTCTATCGTATTTAAATAAAATAATTACTACTTTATATATTTAAGCATCTTTGATAAGCCGTAATGAAGTGTGTTACATTCTTTAAAAAGTTTGTAGTTTGACAATGAATTATTTGCTTAAATATCTTTATACAGCGAAGTAATTCAAATTTAATTTATGTGAAAATTATTTGTCTAATGGAAAATTTATTCCACTCATATAATTATTTTTCCAGATGCTTGGGTAAAGAAAATGGAGGAATACAAGGCGTGGTTCGCTGAGCAGGAAGAAGTTAAGGCAAATGAGGCTTTAAGACCAGGAAAACCGACAAACTATGACGAACTTTTCGGCATTGATGGTTCGTTCCGTCAATTGGTCATTGATTAAAATAATTATTATAAGATTTAACTGGCAACTTCTCACTGAAATGAAGTTTTGAAAATGTGTTGCGGTCTCTACAGCGTCAAATCTTTCGTAAAAATCTTTGCTGATTCACCAAAAGTTGCCAGATTTTATTCAAACCAGTGTCAAATAACTATACTGTCGTATACTGTGTCGTATTTCTTTAAAGTATACTTTAACATTAAAGTGTAAAGACTGACAGACACGATCTGTCTTTCATTATGTAACTAAGTTCTCGCTACGGATTCGCACTGTGCACTCAGCATACATAATAACCTTTAGACCTTTGCAGACAGTCGTTAGACATTGTGTAACAAAGACACTTAAAAAAATGTATTTTAAAATCTTGTATTTTTGATACTCATTTTACACTTTGTATTCTTATTTTGTTATGTTGAATAAAGTATTTTTTTATTTTAAGCATTCCTTATTTATGCTATATAGAAAATACCTAACGCATTCGATGTAGGGTAGACTAGTATAGCTTTTATAATCACCTACCTAATTTTAAACTGTACATCAAGTTTTATTTTATTATTGTTAGATTGATGCATGCATGGTAACTATGAATACAGTACAAAACATATTACGAGTACAGTGATCAGATGCCAATTCGGAGACACCACGCCAAATAATGTGTATTGAGCACAGATCATTAATATAATTATAAAGCGTGCGAATCTAATCCCTGAGATCATGCATCACGGCCCCCGTGCACCAATGGAATTTTATTCTTATTTGCGCAATTGACACTTGCTCCTATCAAAGACTTCTCGAGACCGCTATAGGGTTGTCACATGTCCCTTAGACACAAAGTGGCCCTGTACAAGCCCTGTATCCCACCATACACCTACGCCAGCGTTGTCTTTGCACATTGTGCCCCTTCCCATATCCACCAGCTACACCGATAGGAACGACGATCTCCACCACGACCTGGAGCTCCATCCGACCTGGACCATAACCCAATGGATGAAGAAGGCAAACACACGCCACTTGGACAAGGCAAAACATCAACACAACCCGTTGGTGCGTTAAAGCATAAATTATTACCCCTTCTACAAAAAATGCCGTTAGCCCCAACATGTTCTAAGATGTCCGGATGACCCAACAACAGTAGCTAACGACAAATTGAAAGTCGCCCGCGCGGTAAAGCTTCCGTCCTACTCTTCAGGCGATTGACCACCCCACGACTGCCCAAGTCCGAGTCTCGCAGGAGAAGTCCTTGCGCTAATCGCGGGAAAGTGCCCATTCCGGCCGAGCTGAGCAGTAAAGGCTCTTAAGGCCAAGAGCGAGATTTCATTAAAAGAAATAACTTTAACATTATATAAAGTATATACTGTATAACTATATACAACAATACTGTTCACAACACTTTCATTGGTTAAATAAGTTCATTGGATATGAATACGTAACTGGCTTGAACCTGACGAATTTTCATATAGAGCGTTGATACGGTTAATAGAATAAAATATAAACAATCACGGTAAATTTATCAAAACATCTATTCAATTTATTGGAATTAGAAAAGTTTTATTGAGGAAAATCAATATAATAAATATTGATATTATGTTTATGAAGAGCAAGATAATTATATAAGACTGATTTTCAAATTTGGCTTAAATGTAATGCTTTTAACAAGAATCGCAAAGTCTTAGGATTCAATAGTTGTTATTTAGCGTTTCTCGTAATACGTTCTATTGGGTTTGCCTAATCAGATATCAGTGTAATTCAAAAAGTACAATAACAAGTAGTAATTATAAATTGTCAGTGATAGAATATAGCATTGAATATAATTATTACTACCTTGACAATGTTAAATTGCTCATTGTTTTCCGGTAAAATGAATAACAATATTTAGTACTGTGAAAGATCTTTCTAGTTAAAAGTTTCCTATCGCTGTTAACTCAGTGTTACGGTTTCAACTTTGCCACCGATCTTCATCTTATGAATAGGTCTGTTTGTTATGTGTTATTTTCTAGGATATGCGTTATTTGGAAAGTATATTAGATTTGCGACTAACGCGCGATAACATAGATACAAATATAAAAATAAACTTATTAGCTGTATGTTTTCGGTTTCCGTGTATAGTTAATATCAAACAAAATAAATACGTATTAACACGACCAAGAGTACTTCAATAAAATTACGCCAACAGATAATTGATTATTACAATTGCGATGTTAAATAGAGCGAAAAATGAGTTCGTATAAGTTAGCCAAAACTGTTTTCGACTTTAACTACTATAGGAAAATAAAGCTGAAATAAGCTGGAGCGGGTCTCTTAACTAAAAACAACCAAATAATGTATTTATTTAATGTTTAGTATTCTTAGAGCTAGTTATATAATATAATTATAACATAGACAAATTTACAAGAATTTGATTTACTGTAAAATAATATAAACATTTATAAAATGTTATACATTCTTAAGTAATTTTTTTGTAAATATCTTTTTTTATAAAAAAGAGTTAATAATCATAAAACAGTAAAATATTATTATATTATTTTAATAAATTTGTGTAGTCAAGCGATGGTAAACTTAATACCGAGAAAAATAGTGTTAAGTATAATCCAGCGCGCTTGAGCGACATGGTGAGAAATTGTAGTATATTTCCCAACAGCGCAATGTATTTCGCATTAAGAAACTTGTAGATTACGTACCATATATCCGTATATATAGGTATATATATGGTTGTTTGAGTTTTGTTGAAATAAAGCTAAATGAAATTTCAAATCACAACTCTAGAGTTTATGAACTCTGTTTATATGAACTTATGACAATAACGTTTATATCAGATATGACTTTAAATCAAATCTGGCTTTTATTAAATATTACTTTGAAATACCATTAAGACCTATTTTGAAGCCTATGGAAGTTTTTAACAATTTACATTTTTGAAATATTATTGTGTTAGATTCCTGAACCATTAGTGTAACAGAACATAGAATCTCCAGTAATCGGTTCCAGTGACTTCTTAGTGATATGTATCTTCATACATATTTCTAAGAAGTCACCAGCCTGGTCAATAGGTTACCTTCCGCAAAAATAACATGATACGTTTACTAGTAGATACCTAGGTAACACTGAAAATGTTTAGAAAATTAAAAACGGCTTAATGTAGAAAGTTGCCAATACTTTTATTGTTTTTCGAAGTAATCTCCGTTCCTCTCTACACATTGTCACATTCGATGGAACCATTGAGAAGCAGTGGGCCCATTCTTCCTTAGGGGTCTCTTCTATGGAATTTTCGTACGCTATCACCGCATCTTCAGGGGTCGTAAAGCGAATACCTCGAATTTTATCTTTAGTTCTTGGGAATAAATGAAAGTCGCAGGGCATCAGGTCAGTGCTGTATGGCGGATGACTTATTATCTCGACACCTGCCATAGTCAAATATTCAACAGTCCGTTTTGCGGAGTGCGCTGAAGCATTGTCGTGGTGAAAGAGGATCCTGCTTCCAGGGCGCTGCTATCGAATTTTTAAATGCCAAGACAACAGGCAAACAGCGATTGACATACCAGTCTGCAGTAACTGTCCTTCCATCTTCTATCACAACAGTTGCGAAATTACTTTTCCGACCAAAGAATGAGGCAATCATCTTTTTTCCTTGACTTCTTCCTATCTTTACCTTAGTTGGCCGATCCTCGATATCGAACCAGCATTTGAGTCACCGCCATTGAACTTATCTAACATTTGGCAACACCAGTCCATGCGAAGGTGTTTCTGGTTGTCGGTTAAAGTATGGGGAATCCATCTTGTACAAATCTTCCTGCCGCCTAAATGTTCGTGTAATATTTTTTATACTTGATTCATACTAATGCCTAGGCTTTCCTGTATCTGCTGATAGGTCACTCTCTTATCTTCTTCTATTATGCGTCGCACAGCACTGAAGTTATCTTCAGTAGTCGCTGTTAAAGGACGTCCCTCACGCGGATCATCATTGAGATTGCTACGTCCACGCTGAAACTCGTTAAACCAATTGTAAATAGTGGCACGAGATGGGGCTTCATTAAGAAATGATAATTGCAGTCTATCATAGCTTTGTTGTTGAATTAGTCCACAACGAAAGTCATAATAAATTATTATTGACCGAAAAATTTCTCGCGTTAGGTTCATTTTCACGTGTAACAAGAGTTTTAGATTAGCCGCCAATTCACAAAAACAAAGGACAAACGAATGCAATATACTATATTAGAATCTAAAATTGTAATTCAAAAAAGTTTTCATTAGCAATGTTTCTAACTGGCCATTTCTAAACATTTTCAGTGTTACCCACGTACGCAACGCAAAATTCAATTTAAGTTTTTCTTATTTGGACAAAAATTTCAATCAAATTTTGTAAGAGGTTATCTAATAGCTGTCTAGTGACTTTTTGTTACCTAAGAGATTTCTATATTCTTTAGAGACCTATTCAGTTTTTCTAACATGATTCTTTGATTATTATCGCCAAACCTCGTAAAAACTATTTCTGTCTTTCAGATTTAGTAAGTATCACACATAAAAACGCACCTTACCGGACAAGAACGCGTTTCTTTGAGTCGCTAACTTTTATTTAAATCACTAACATACTCGACACTCGTTATATTATTAAAAATTTAATAACTAAACGACCCCGGGAAGTGCTCTCTTTAAAGTGTTCTATTTGACATAAGTATTAAGTACTAAGTTATTTATTAAAAAAAATCTTACACATCATTATACATGTTTAAACTATATTCGAGATTGTTTTAAGATTCTTTGTTTGAATAAGTTATGAAATTGTTGGTATTAATAAAATAAAGCAATACATAATTCCAATTTCTTAATACGCAGTATGTTTCCGGACTTAACATTTCATTTTTTAAATATTTTTAACCTCATTTTAAACAATACCTTAAGCCCATCCATGGAGCACAGAAACAATCGTTTCGCTTTGTAACCGGAAAATTAATTTTCCGCCATGACACTGCGTCGTTCTCAATGTCGCAAGTACTTTAGTAAGGTTCTGTAATCATTTAGTTCGTACTTAACCGCCATCTAGATAGCACACACCAAAACGGAAGCGAATTACGTGAGTATTATTTTAAATATAGAATTATTTAATCGGACGATATTGCGATTAAATTTTAATTCATATTAAGAAAATATTGTGTTAAATTATATTTCATACATTTTATTAAAATAGTATTGTATCATAAAGTTTTGTAAAATAAGCTTAACTATTTTTCTTGTATAAATACTGGTTTCATACATATTTTTTTTTACAATAATAACCTTTTAAACTATCATTAATTGATAACTACCTTATTAATCTTACGAAAGTATTCAACAGTCCAAACATAAAAATTTTAAGACAGTTACCAGTTTTGTATATAATTTTAGATTGAAAAGTGCTGATATGTCTTTTAATTATACTCTTTATCTACACTTTGTATAGATACTTGTATGTAAATACGGAGACTTGCTTTTTATAATTTGTAATTTGTTTTTATCGTACGTTCATCATCATTCTACGTGTGTCACTACTTTATGTAACGACCACAGTACGAAACACATTAAACTTACTTGCTTAAAGAGTTCAACGACTACATCGCTACATTGTTATGATATACATACGAAAATACTTACGCAAATATAATATAATGTGTTGGGAACAGTGGGACCTTAAATTATACCTATTTTCTTACTAGAACCATATAGAAGTTTAGTTCTGAATTTAAGGAAACCATTAATAAGGAACAAATAAATGCCTAAATTAGCTACAAAAGTCGCTTCTAATATTATGAATTGCGTAAATGAAATTGAATTTCTTTAATTAAACTGTATAACTATTATAAGTAATGAAGTTTATTATAAAAAAGTGATTTAACAAAGATATGATTTTACCCAAAGAGTATTTAGATTTATTTTTATTTTTCGCATAACAGCAACATTATCCCTGGTCTTAAACTCTACATGATTTCTTATTTCTGTTAAATTGTTCGCGCATTTAATGTTCCATAATATAAATAAATGGCCAATCAAATATACGTCACTACAAGTTAACTTACTGTGTTGCAGACTAAAAACTAATGTCCTAAGAAACAATTATTCCTTACGTCAGTATTCCTTATAAAATTTGACAATACACTATCTGTATAGTAACAATAACAGTCAGAATATTAAGGACCCATATTTAACTAGAATTGTTTATTGTAACGAAACCTGTTTTAAGAAGAGATAAATCGATTTTGCTAAATATTTTATTATTGATAACGCAGTACATTGATGCTGTAACATTCATAATGAAAATTACTTCATATATTTTAAACACATTCAAGGTATTTGTATAGAAAGACTCAAAAAACTTAGTAGGTAATAAAACATAAAACGTTAAAGTTCAACAATATCCTCTTTTAAAACACCAGTAATATTTCACAATATAAACACTCATTGTGTACTGTTTTTTGCGTAAATTTACGTATCCTTACTACAATATTTATTTCCGTTCATTTGTGTTGAAATTATTTATTTTCCATCAAGGATATTGGTAATTCCTTGAGTTTCTAAAACAGCGCTAATGTTTGCAATCGCTGTGTTGTAATGTTGGGTGACATTCCAAGTTTGGTTGGTATAAGGCGTTTAAGTAAACTAGATTAAGATTAAGGAAAAATTCTCCTCATTCTAATTGACTCTATAGTATAGTGTAAATGTATTATATAATTATTAGTATTTAAATAAAATTTCGTATATACTCTCATATCATTTTGTTGTGTTTGTTATTGTCACGAGAAGGTTCTTATGAAAGAAAAAATTAAGAAAACTGCGCGGTAAATTGGAAAATTTAAAAATACCTTTTAAATTTTCTAAATTTTAACCACCATACACTTTAAACTTTTTTGAAGTAACCTTATGGCGTTTGACATAACATTGACAGAATGCGTGCTGCAAATATGGTCAAAGAGGATGTAAGAAAAATGAATATCCTTTAAAAAAAATGCTTCGATCGGAGTTATTATATTTATTAATATATTATATTATAAAATACATAATACGTATAATAATAATTAATAAATTTATTTAAAAAAGATAAAATATACAATATACTATACTTATAACTAGATGAGCACACTACATCAAGAAACTTTTAGAAAGGGAGACAAGAAGAAACTGTATGAGCTAATATGTAGGAATATATATATATAATTCTGCTGAACGTGTGTATGTCACTGAACTCCTCTTAAACGACTGGACTGATTTTAATGATTTTTTTTGTATGAGTATTAATGAGGTTTTTTTTAGGGCCCAGCGAATGGCGCTGCAGTCGGTACTTATCATGTCGGTAAATATCATGCAGGACAACGTCTGTCGGGTCCGCTAGTATTAAAATAAAATATTCGTGTAGCAGAAGATTAAACCAAAAAGAAAGAAATAACGGAGAAATATAGCTTTTAATTTATTTACATCATACAAAATAGGATAAACACATTTAAATCATCAAAACAAAGCTCTATACATCAAGTACATTTATATGTACATAATAATCAAACACACACATAAATACATACACACATTTTTATATCAATCGATATATAAAGTAAGTAGTCATACAAATACAATATGTTTTAAATCATTTTTATAAAACGTAAAATTCATTTGAAACCTTTGTTTGAAACTCTCAAAAAACCTTAAGTAAAAAATTATGTTTGTGGTTAAAACTAATCTTAAGTCTTTGTTAAGATGTCAAGGTGGCTATGGTATACCGCCATTAGTATTTAATTTGTATAAACAATTAAAGTTACGAAAATTTAAAAACAATTATTAAATTTTCAACATTCAGAAATTTAAGTAAGAAGGTATTTTAAACTTAACCACTATTAAATTTGCTATGAGGCTTATTGTAACTCGATTTATATGTTTAGCAATAATTATTGTTTCCATTGCCATTACCAAACAATATTTTTTACCGGGGATTGAGACTACAACCTCCAGGCAATGCAGATGTAAGCCACGGTTCTATAAAGAAAAGAAAATAATTATGAACTTATATAACTAAAGAAATGTAAATATTTTTCTAGGATGGCAGCAACTCTAGTGCAACCAAGTGGAGAAATATGGGAGAAGATAAGAGTAGAACTAAAAGAAAATGTGAATACCAGAGACAGAGATTTACAGCATATGAAAGAATGGTTGAAAAAACAACCTCATTTGCCTGACGAATGGGGTATGGTTAATCTAATATTATTAGTCGTAACAAATAGTGTTTTCCTACCTTAGAGTTTTTGTCGCATTTTAGTTTTTCTACACTTAAGTACAAATCTCAAATTAAAAATGCTTTATTTCGGATATGCTTTTCTGTTAGGAACCTTAAAATTAAGTACGATGGTTCATCAGAAATCTAAATACTATTTTTAGTTTGGAAGCAGTGATTAAATGATATACATACATATTTTCAAATTTTACTTAATTAAGTTTTTTCGCTGGGCTACAATAATAAGAATGCATGATATTCCAATAAACATTATCGTATTATAGTATAATTACGGTATTGGACCTGTGTCCATAAGCCTCTTAAAGGGCACTCCCTTTCTGTAGCCGCCCGTGAATTGCAAGTGATTAAGTAACAGAGAAAATTACAAACGGCCCTCTCGATACACGATATAAAAAATAAAACAATAATTAGTAAATAAAATTAGCTTCTGTTTATTTATATGAACATCTACCTCGCTGGGCTATGTTATATAAGATTATATTAATTATTTAAAAAAAACTAAATTAGCTAAATGAATTAGCATGCAAATGTCTAAATACAATTAAAAACATTAATGTGTAAACATTATTTTTTTTATAGGATATTGGCATAGACAAGAACTGTATATGTATGAGCCTCTAGACTGTATCATAATTTGAAATTGTTTCTTTTACCACTGATATAAGATCAAAGTTTACGTGTGTTTTTAGACGAAGGACGCATCATGACCTTTCTTCGTGGCTGTAGTTTCTCTCTGGAGAAATGCAAGAGGAAGTTGGATATGTATTTCACAATGAGAGCAGCATGTCCTGAATTTTTCACGGAGAGAGATGTCACCCGACCAGAACTGAGAGACCTTATGTCCAGAGCGTAAGTAATAACTTTTATAAAGAAGAGTTTGCTTTATCATATATTTGTTATACTGAATAATACAAAAATCGTAAAATATTTCGTTACGTTGTGGTTTATATTAATGTAACAATATCAGCAGTCATATCAGAAGCGCGATATATGCCTATGAAAATAATTATGTAACTTGATTTTTCTTGTTTTACGTTATACTGTTTAATAATTGCCCGGACAGTACGTTTATTAGGCGCGGCAGCAAATACTTCAACGTTCACCATAGATGTTGTTTCGTTACAGCTCTTGTTTGTACGTTCTACACGTTTTTTAATAATCATTCTTAGCATGTGGTATCTATTGTATAGCAGTTGTTCCATGCGAGATACTGTCATCGCCTAGTGACTCAGTCTAAGATGCGTAACAGTCTTTAGTAATTAAAAGTATTAATGCTTTCAAACTTGAGCAGTGTTGGCTTAGTGATTTGAGCATGCAACTCTCAACCCTAATCACGGCTGGGCATTAACAAAGTGGCTTGTGCATGCCTTTGCTTGCCTAGACTATTTGCCTTTTGGGAAGTAGATGATCAGTCAGAATCAAAAGCAAAATATATAAAAAAATTGTTCCAGCCATGAGCCAAGGGTTGTTAAGGTTAACTTTAAATTCATTTCGTTCGAAATTTTATTTGGGATAAATTCTTGAATAGCGCTATAATATTTAATAAATCAAGTCGATCAAGAACGCGATAGTCATTATGTATATGTTTAATCGTAGTGTTTAAATATTATTGTTATTACAGACAAGGACCACCACTTTCTGGTTTGACACCGAATGGTAGACGAGTGACGGTTTGTAGAGGTAATATTGCCTAAACATATTTAAAACTAGATCTTGTTTGACTTTTAACTCAAAAGAATTGCTCAATGTGTTCATATTAAATTTGTATCTGCAGAAACTGGGAACATTACTTGTAAATGAACGAACCACAGTACAAAATAGTACAAAGTGACTTATGCCTTACCAATTAAACCATGCACACCTCTATAACCAATAAAGTGCTTGGTGATACAGTTTCTCTACATCGAACCGCTTAAAAAATTATAATAATAATAAAAATGGGGACATGAGTACCTTTATTGAAGGTCTGAAGTGGGGCTCGATACACCGGCTGTACGCTGTACAGACATTAATAAAAAATTTACCTAATATTATTATAAGTGATATTAATGGGTTCCTTTAATATTTTTTTTAGGGCTGGACAAGAATTTAGATATGAATCAGTTGAATGACGCTTTTAAAGTCGCCCTGATGATCGGTGACGTCAGACTAAAGGAAGAAAAAGAGGGTGTAGGGGGTGACATTTACATTCTAGACGCTTCTGTCGTCAGTCCCAGCCACTTGGCCAAGCTATCTCCCACAGCTATCAAGAAATTCCTTATTTGCGTTCAGGTATGTGTTTATATGGTCTTCACGCGAGTTATAATAATAATAGCTCTTTATTTATATCACAACACAAAACAGGCATGTCATAAATGAGCAGTCTTACTGCTAAAAGTTTCTTCCAGTTCATATACATTTAAAAAAAGCTTCGATGTCAGATAGATATAGTACATATATATTATATGTACATGTATTTTATTATTTTCACCTCTAGCTCACCATGATTGTTGAAAAGCAATACGCGATGAACACAATACATTCGTGTTTATATGTGTTAGTAAATTTATTTAAACGTTAAAATTATATAAATAAGAATGTTAGTATTGGTTGCGTTAAATGAGTTGGATAAGCTAAAAATAATAATAAACCAATACTTTATTAGTTGTTTGTTGTTCTTTTTTAAAACTTCTTTCTTTTTGCACTTCCAATGCTTCTTCTACATGACGGTGATTGTTTTATTCTATATATCATTTGACATTGTCTTATTAATATTGTTTTTTTTTCCAGGAAGCATACCCCGTGAAATTAAAGGAGGTACACGTGGTGAATACTTCACCAGTCATTGAAAAAGTTGTCAACTTCGTCAAGCCTTTCCTGAAAGATAAAATCAAAAATAGAGTACGTATATATCTAATATGTTATTCTTTGTTCTCTATAACATCTTTACGTAACTAACTGCTCTTGGGCAAACGAAAGGAGGTTCGCGTGAATATAAGCGATATCGCGGCCTATGGAAACTAAGATGTAGTTAATTAATATTGTATTCTAATAAAATAAAAATTTAAACTAAATTTTTCACTTTGCATTTACTTAATACATATTATATTTTATTTAATATTTGTATTATAGAATTATGTTTACATAAAACTTTTTGCTTACTGATTGTATGATGGGGATGAGGCAAGAACATTCACAGTGATATTCCATCATGCTCTGTCATGAGCAACACATTTTATCTCGCTCTAAATCTTTGCGTCTATCGCCCTCTAGTACTCATAAAGTTTTGTAAAAATATTTTTACACACAATATTTTTTACAAACCTGACAATCATTACAAAATTAAATTATCTTAAAAGTCGTTCCGAATCCAACGACTTTTTTATTTATTTGTTACTGCATATATCACTTATCATTGATTCTTAGTCAAACTGTCTTTTTAACAATAATTTTGCTTTCATATGAGTATTACACCATGGGTCGTAAAATAATCATTAGAATATATGGAATTATATTACATTACAGATTTTCATCCATTCAAACCTTAGTGAGCTGTATAATTATGTGCCAAAGGAAATGCTCCCAGAGGAGTATGGAGGCAATGGAGGTTCACTTTCGGACATTAATGGTAGGCAGTTTACACCTAACGTCATTCTTAATAGTCATGCCGCTATAGGCACGTATTTGCATTCTATGAAATATCCATGTAATGTCTTTCTAATCATAAGTATTTTATTCGATCATCACTGGATACCAATAGGATAGAAATCTCATCAAGAATAAATATGGAAAACGAGACTACTAAATCAAATTTCAAATCAAGTCTCTACAGTCCTGTTTAAGAGGCCCGACATTTAAATAATACTGTAAGAGTGTCCAACATGGTTGGACTTTGTTCGTTGATTAATATTTATTTATATTCCTATAACCCCATAGAGTCACGCATTTCAATCTAGGAGTTGAAGTTAAATAATATCTCATAACTGCTGCGATAATTACTGTTTTACCCAACATCAAAAATTCTCGCTTACATATTATTACAAACTTCTTATATTATTAAAAGGGTAAAACTTGCCGAGTTTCTTGCCCGTTCTTCTCGAAACCTTCTGGTAGTTTTGCGAACTGATGGCGTAGTCTTGCTCTTTCACGAATTTGGACATTCATAAGCATGCCCTAAGACGCATCTAAACTGAATAAACGTATTTTGATTTGATTTGATTATATCTTATCTCTATGTGTATATAATATATATAGTACAAATTGTCTATTCAATACATATGTTACCTTAGGTATATATCCATATAATTTATTACAGAGGCCTGGATGAAAAAATTAGAAGAGTACACAGATTGGTTCAAGGCCCAGGAGTCAGTTATTGCCGTTGAAGCTCTAAGACCGGGAAAGCCAACGAATTATGACGAATTATTCGGGATTGATGGATCATTTAGGCAACTGTCCATAGATTAAAGAATTTGTCTAAACCTTTAGTTTTTAACAGGCGCTAAAATGTTTTAATTTTTTTTATAAGTTTAATAAGCCAGGGCTTATAATAAGAGTCCTTTTGCTATGATTGTATGTCATATATAAGTTTATTATATTTCAATTTTATATACTTTTTTATGAATTATTAAACGTACTTCAAAAAAGGAGGAGGTTATCAGAGGTTTTATTAGAAATTTACTGTCATATTTCATAAGTATGTAAAAATAAAAATGATATTAAAAATTTTGTTAGTTTTGTATATATTTTTCAAGTAAAGTAGGGACAATGCAGCCAGGGTGAATTGCCACGTTTCAAAATTTAGGAGTTAAAAAACATTCACGCATTATATTTCTTTTAAAATAATTTAAATATTTTACGCGGATGCGATAAGAGAAACAAAAGGATTCCCCTGTAAGAAAAAATCTTTGAAATCATATAAAATAAATGACATTTCAATATTTTAGGATGTAAAGACCTATAGAGTTGAGAATTATTTGTGATCTGTGAAAGTTCATGAAACATAATATTATAACTATAATACATTATCATTATTATTGTTACACACATGACGGTTACAACTAAAAAAACAAAATAGAATTACACAAACAAACGAAAATGAAAAATAACAAATGTGTGTATGTGTTTCTATCACCCATTTTATTAATTTTTTTCCTCTCAAACATCACATATGTTCAAATGAGGAGAATCAGATACTTATGAAAATATGTTATAGAAAGTATATACACGTGTGAAAATGACATGAGTACTTAAGAATGCGCAGCGCTAACCAGATCCAAGCAATTTCCTAACAATCGAGTAGCCCGGAATTTGTATTGAAAAAGTCGCATGGTGATTGTAAGATAGGTATCGTAGGATTGAATCGAGAAACATCTATGTACGCCACGCCATCTAGTGCTGTACAGCCGCAACAAGTTTGGTGTACAACGAGGACATTGGTGGAACCGCGCTGAACATTCGCATACCTTTCTGCTGCGAAAACTAAATAGACGTTAATCTGAGCTGATGCGTTCTCATTTCCAAAATCGTTGTTTTTCCATGGCCAAAAGATTAACAGTGATATTCGTTTAATAAGATAAACGCCAAATTTTGAATAATAATATATTAATGGAACCTTATTCAATATGAATTTGCAATACTGTTATATTTATCGATTCATTTTACGTTAAATTGTTTTATAGAAAAAGGGGTTCTTAATACCACAGCGTATTTTATACGTTGTACGAGTATACCAACCCGTAAAATCATCCAATTATTCTGACCTTTGCAGGTTTTCACTGAACTTTATTAACAAAATTAGTAAAACAAATTAAAAGCGTAAATGCTGTAGAATATATTACTGATAAGGGTAATGATGGCTAGTGTGGAGTGTCAAAGTTTCTTATATACTATATTTTAAACTATTTACACTATACAGATTTTGTAATTACGTAATACAAAACGTGTATATTACACAATAGATGCATAAAGAACAATATCTTAATTGTTACTAATATCAGACATTTATCTTGTAGGTCAACATTGCGTTACTGCATTCTGGTTATTAAATAACTAAACATGTTTAAACATAGATTTTACTGAATGCATTAGACGTCAACGAACATGTAGATTCTAATTAATTATAAGTAAAATTTTAGAAAGTAGACTAAAAGTCTATTAACAATCACTTAAAAGCGTTACTCTTTTCTTATTTTAATCTAAACCCAATGAAAATAACATATTGACAACTGGCAACTTGTCATCTGTCAAGTTACGTTAGATTTTGACATTTGATTGACAACTGCCTTACCTATTAGCGCAACTCTATCTGTCTATTGTTATCTTGGGCTTATACTGTACGAGGGACAATTTAATATGTAGATCACATTTGATACCTTGTTGAGGTATTGGTTGATTGATATTCAATAACTTAACCTCGTAACGGTGGGCAAAATATATTATGTATTTCATTTTTTGAAGTGAAAACTTCTGCGTTGTACACTTTTTGAATTTAGTACTTTTATACTGATAATTAAAGCAATTCGTGCAAAATTATTCCCCTAACACATATACACTAAAATATCAAAAATTAACAACGTTAACTATTTTTAAAAGTTATCTACGTAAAAAGTATAAGTTAAAAAAATAGAGAATTTTTTGCGAGAAGCTTTCCCGCACTCCCTTGCTTATGCTCAAGAAGTTTGCCGATACTATAACGGTGGGTATTATATATTATGCATTTCATTTTTTCGAAGGTTAGAACTGAAAATCCTTAATTTTTCAATTCCGAATACTGTAATACTAGATGAGCCAGGGAACTTCGTATCACCTACACATATTTATATCGAAACTTATTCAACAGTTTTAAAACAGACCATAGAGACCGGACCTCATAGTACAGCTACGAAACACAAATTTCTGATGGCATCTATAAATATAATATGTCAACCAAATGAATTTTTTTTAGACTCAAATATTTCCCCACTAGAAACAGTTATTATAGGAAAGTTTAATTGTAGTTTTTAGTATATTTCTTTACTTATTATTTAAGTTTCCCACAGTTTACTGAACCTTCCCTGAAGTTCCACAGATATTTGAAGTATCTTTTGATCTTGAAGATCAAAATTAGCCAAATAAGTCAGCCATTTTCAAGCATTAGCGAGACAAATGATTGTTTATTTTTAATATATTAGGTGGGCTGAAGAGTTGGTAGGCTAAAAAATTTTTTTAAGATTTGATGATTAATATTAGTTGTAATGTTTATTTGGTTGATTTACAATAACCATTTTGAACATAACAAACAATTTCTGTTCTAAAGAGAACTGAACGTCGTTCCAATGTATCGCAAGTGAGGTCTTTTTGTTTTTAAACACTAGGAATGCAGCCAAAAATATTGAAATTTGATAAGTAAAATCGAAACATCAAAGCTTAGTATAACGTACATCGCAATAGTTAATAGAGATAACGCCATAGGCCGACATTTCACTTCTAACTTCACGGTCGATGATGAAACGAGTTAATTTCGAAATTTATTCTCAAACGACCCTTGTCATTATCGTACTCCAATGTGTCTCAGTTTAGTTATAAAAACTGAGAGACACAAAATAAAAGCCCTGTTTTAGAATTTAAATTAGTTTGGCCTAATATGACATAAACTTACTCTGACTTAATAAAGTATGGCCATAATGATTGATAGTGAATACAATTCTTATTTTGTAAACTTAGTCAAAAGTTAATGTCAAATATGTTAAAGCTTCGTTTACATAGTAAAAGTAACTAGCACAAAATAAATTTACACTCATCTCTCGTTTTATTTTACATCCACTGCTAGACATAGGCCTCTCCTCTAAATTTCCAGTACGACCGGTTCCCCGCGCTTTGTTGTAACGACTTTCCTTCAATTTGCACTAAGGACTTAAGTTACACGTAATATACCGATTGAATGTTTCTGTTGAGAAATTTACGTGATGTAATAGTGAATTAGACATAGACATAACATTTATTACTATCAAGAACACACGCACATAAACACACATAATAACAATAATCAAAGAAAAAAAAATAATGAGAGATAAAAAATGGGATATTTTCCCTTTCGGTTCGTTTCAAGTGTGTAATGCGTGTGTCCTGTGACTGCAATTGGCTCTGGCTCAGCAATATGCTGAGGAGCAGACTGTTCCAGAGCGCTGGTCATTCTGCCAGAGACCACAGCAGCTAGTTTGCGCCTCAGTCGCAAAAAAAAAGAAAAGGAATATAATAATACTTAGTAGAAAAAAATATAAGTAAAAGTTAGCAGTGTAAGTAATGAAGTCTTGTGTAAAGGTGTATACTGCAAAGTACATAAAATAAAATTAAAAGTAGTTTTTTTTTAATTTATTATAAATTATGACGAATCATTAATTAATTTTAACATTTATAATGTTCGGTAACTAGCGCCAATTACATCATACTTCAGTCCTAAGTTCTATATTGTAATTCGTATCTCAAGTCCCAATCTCGTCTTGAGCGCTGTTAAATATGTCAAACTTCATACAGAAAAAAATGGTATACCATGCTCTTGAAACTACATTTAAGTTTAATTGACGATATAGAATACGCCCTAAGACAGTGAGTGTAAGCAAAGCATAGGACCACCTTAGCTCTGAGAAATTTCTCAATAAGCCAGAGAGAGGCAGGCCGAGGTCAGTTCATCAGTGTGTGTCACATTGAACGCTGTTCTAGATAGGTGTCGTGGTTTGTTTTGGCGGGACCATATATCGTGAGTATTTTTTTTATTCCATAGATTATATTCGTTTATATTAAGATCAATTTAAAACAAAGAATTTTTATTCAAATTTATTTAACCAAAATGTTAGTTTTAAAATTTTGGCTACTAAAACCCGTTTCAAAATTTGTTAATTTTGCCTTTGCCTTAATGGTATTTTTATGGTATGGTATGGTATATTATGTAAAAATGTATTCCAAATTAAAATAATCAAATTTTTTGTAGTATTAACTAGCAGCATTTTAATATTTAATTTATTAAATACCTTTTTGATAATATTTTTATTCAAATTGTATAAAATTGACTTTAATTTTCAAATTATTATTATTATTACTATTATTATTATTTTGAAAACTATGTATGTATTTATGTATTTGTTTATAATATGGAAATACAATATGTTGTTTAACATTACCTTTCTTTTTATTTAATTTACAATTACTGTAATTTACTTGAATATTTCATATAGTTTTATCTTAAGATAATATTATTTATTTATTAGGAAACAAACAGATAAATATAGTAGAAACAAAATGAAGTGAAATATATTATAAAGCTAGAATATTGGATGTTACACACGACATACCTACGTGTTTTTACCATATTTTATTTGACCTCTAACTCTCTAACCTCTGGTAACGTCACAATCTAGTTTAAAAAACCCACGACGAGTTCGGTCACGCTTAAATTCCCTGTAACCTTGACCTTAGAATTCAAATCTTGA